GCCGAGAACAGGCGGGATTGGCCACAGCATGTGCTGACCCACCTATCCCACTTAAAAGTTTTTTGCTTTTATTTTTTATTTTGTATTGTTAATTTTATTATCTTTTTAACTATTGTTGACACTTTAAAAAATTATGTTTAAAAAAGAAACTAACAATTTGACGATTATAAGCAATAACAAATAATTTTATTAATAGTACTATGAACATCCGGAGAAATAGTTTTATTAATAGTTCAATAAAGTTAGCTAAGTTATGTCAATTCTTTTAAAATATGGAGCTTTTTAATTGCCTATGCTCAAATTTCTGTTCAAGCAACTTCACAATATATATACACACACACACACACATATATATATATATATACATATATATGTATATGAGATTAATGTGTATCTATGATCTAATACGCCATTGAGCATAGGGGAAATTATCCAAACGAGGAGCAATATTAATAGCATATCCTAAGCAAGATGAATCATTCATATCCATAGAGATGAAATGCAAGAAGCACAATTAATCAAAATTAGATTAGCACTAATACAATAACTTGGATCTTTAACTCAAGGCGGTTAGTCCTTAAATCAAAGAGCACCAAGCTCTGATACCAATTGTTAGACCCTAGAGGGGGGGTGATTAGGGTCTTATGCTAATCTAATCCCAATTAATAGCAATTAAAATTATGTTGATCAATATGTTCTTACAAGAGATAGATATGAACAATAAGAACAATAAGAATAATAAGAGTAATAAGAGTATGCACAAATAAAATATACGCTAAGCAAAACACAAACACACGATATGTTTACGAGGTTCGGTCCCCACGACCTACGTCCCCGCTCCTCACCTCGAGGAGATATCCACTATCACAATCCGGTTTGGAAGCCGGAACTTCTACACACTCGGTTTACAAGTTCACCGAAAACTCTCACACTACACAGTCACTCAATAATCACACTTTACACACTAAGTGTAGGAATCTAGCCCGTGTCCTCCTCCTCAAGTGCTCGATTACAACCTCTCCCTAGGTTCGTCAATCGACGCCACTCCTATTGGATTTGACCCCGTCTCTCTCTCCTCACACTTCTCTCGGTGTACAAGTGTATTACAAGTGATTCTCACAAATAAAAGTTAAATACAATGATTTGTTCTCAATTAACAAGTGAGAACACAATGAAGCTCACACTCACTAAATCCCACACCACAACCCACAATATAATATGAGAATATAAAGCTCAATAAGTGTGTGTGATAATAGTGAATGAAACTCAATAAATATAACTCAATGAATATAGCTTAATCAATTGAAAGTGAAATAACAAGCTATATAAGAATGGGTTTAGAAAACTTCTCAATGAATAAGAAGAGCTGAGGAAATGATGATCTCAATAAGATTTGAAAGCCTCTTCTTGTTGTAGAAAACTTCTCTTGAAAACTGATTAACGAAACCAACTCTTAAACAGCTCTTAAACGAGATTAACAACTTGTTAAATAGCAAACTTTGATTTCTTGATCATGGAGAAGAAGAGCAGCAATGGGGTATTTATAGCACCTCATTGCAACAGCTAAAAATAAGAAAAAGACCAAAAAGCCCATTTGAAAAACTAGCCGTTAGGCTCAGTTCCATTGAAAAATTTAGCCGTTAGGCTCAGTTTATCAGCTCGTCGGTCGACCGGTACGGTCGACCGATTAGTTCAAAAACCCAGAGAAAACATGTTTTGAAGCAGGCGGTCGACCGACGTGAATTTCGGTCGACCGAATGGATATTTCGGTCGACCGACGGAAATTCCGGTCGACCGGAAAATACTCAAAGAAATTCTCAGAAATCAGACTACCGTCGGTCGACCGTATCGGTCGACCGAAATCTGATATGTGAGAAATGACAGGTTTTGGGTCAGTTTTGAGAATTCGTTAAAAATATCAATTCATATCCAAAAATAGTGAAACTTTGGGGAAAGTTTATAAATGATGAAATGAACATGTTTGAAAAGGAATTTTTGGAAAAACAAATTTCGTTTGTGAAAACTACCTGTTTTTGAAAAATGATTAGAAAACCTGTATTTTTATGAAAGTGAAAGTTTGATATAGGACTTGTAAATATTCATATATATATTGTGCATATATTATATGTACATAATAAAGTATGAGAGAGCTGTAAACAAGAGATAAAGATATTTTAACAACGTTTAAAGAAAAATCATCTATATGATAGAAAATGTCAAAGATCGTGTTAAGTGTATATATATTGAGCTTAGATATAATCATACTATATATGTAAGAAAACTGATCATATACCTAAGAAAACCCACGCAGATGAACTTGAATCTTTAACGCTGTGTTGAAATACCTGAAAAGAGAACATAAACACAAAACACTAGAAAACTTATTAGTAATAAATTGTTTGTCAAATCATCATCAAAACTATAGGGTCAACAATCTCCCCCTTTTTGATGATGGCAAACAATTTATACATGAATGTAAAGTATACACTGATAATCCACATATAACCCAAAACAAGAATAAATCATACATGACCATATATATAAAACACACATGATCATATATAACAGAATTAATTTGTAAGCTATATATGTGGTAGTTTTCTCCCCCTTTGACAACATCAAAAAGAGGGAAAAATGAAAGATAGGAGCAATGCTCCCCCTGCATATAAGCATAGATAATAGAAGTAAAGAAATTTATGTCAAAAACTCCCCCTGTCAAATAGACAGGATGACATCAATAGAGCATATATACAGGAGCTAAACTGACAACTATCCATCAAACTTATGCATAAGAAAAAAAAATGCAAGAAACAAAACATGGGTATTGTCTTAACCATGCATTGATCACAAAATGATAAACTGACATCAGCAATTTACAAATCATCATTTAGGCATTACAAAAATGATAAACCACGCATTGATACATAAAAAACAAAACTTAAACATAGGCAACTTATGATAAGCAACTATTTGCTGCATACCAAAACATGAGTGTTGTTTCTACAATGCAGTGATTCATAAAAGAATTAAACTGAACATGATGATTCACAAATAACATCATATAGACATTAAAAGCAACATATTTATGCAGAAAAATATAGGTTTGTCCACGAGATAGCAAGTCATACATAAAACGTCACACAAAACCATACATAGTTGTTCCACAAAGCACCAAAGCATCATAGAGTTATACACTCAAATAAAAACAGAGTTATCAAGTTTTTACAACCCAGAAGAAAGCATAAAAACATCACAGGAAGAGACTCAATCAGTCATCACCTCCTCCAACATCATCACCATCTCCACCATCATCACCACCTCCACCATCATCACCACCACCATCACCATCTGAGTCATCAGCAGAATCCTCACCAGAATCAGACTCAGAATTAGAAGGGATCCCGAGAGACTGACGCTGGTATGAAAGAATAGTCCTAACGTCCTTCTGAATAGATGTGACACGAGTCTCAAGACGATCAAGACGGTCACAAATCTCAGAAGTGGAAGAAGTGGAAGAGGTCGAGGCTCTAGAACGGGAGTGAGAAGATGGTGTGGAGTCAAGAGATATATGCATTCTGGAAAGGGAAACTTTATCAAAGAAATCTCTTGTGGATTCAACCTTAGGTTCATTAGTGAGGTCAACATTGAAATGTTGAAAGATGAGAGTGAAAAAGGAACCAAACGGTAGAAACTTGGTATGTTTTGATGCTATGTTATTGATAAAGATAGTAGCCCAATCAACTTTGATTTTAGCAAAGATGGCATAAACAGCATTAATCTTGTCAGAGGCG